ACACGCACACACGACCCGCACACACGCAAGCACACACTAACACCCACGCACACGCGCACACACACACACACACGCACGCACGCACGCACGCACGCACGCACGACCGCACGCACGCACGCCCGGCGCGTGCCCGACGCACGCACGCAACGCACGCACGCACGCACGCACCCACCACCACCACCCACCACACACACACACACACACCCACACACACACACACTCATACACATACACACACACACACACACACACGCGCACACACACACACACCGCACAGTGTAATACTCGAAATCATCCACTCCTCCTCCACCACCCCCTCCTCCTCCTTCTCCCCCAGCAATGGCACCGGGAGGACGTCTGGGATGAGGATGGGGAATTGAACAGCGTGGATAGGAAATCAAAATGCCACGCTCACGCTCATGCTGCCCTGGGTTGTGTTCGTGCCTCCTTCGCATCGGCCGACGAAGAGCTCTGACCCGCTGACTCTCCCAACGCAGGCTCCTGCCTGAATTCCGAATGGCACGCACCAGCACGTTTGGGCAAGAATGTCGAATTGATGCTGAAGACACGGTGGTAACGCACACATATGGAATGATTGCACATGGGCTGTGTCTCCCCACCATTGCGTGTCTCCCCTGAGGTGGCTTGAACGTCTGGCTGCGAACAGTCACCGAAGTTGCTGAACTGGGAGACACCCACGGTGCTCCCCTCCGTCGGCTTCTGTGAACTCTGCCTCGAAGCTGCGTGATGCCATAGACTCCGACTCCAACAGGGCGTCGCCGCCCTCCCGGCCATCCCCGGAAACAAGATCGAACAGCACAGCGGAACACGTGCCCACTGCAATCCTCGGACGTACTGTTGTACTCCATTCGCGGTGCTGGATATTCAAGATCTCGAGAATATCCTGGCCGCCTGCACCTCCCACCCGGGAGTCATCGCGGAGGGTGTGGAACCCGTCAACCTTGGCCTCGGCCTGACTTTATTGCAGCCGTTCCTCGTCGGTGGCAAGGCGGTTCGACAGCAGGCCTCATTGGAATTCGAGCGTCTGGATGCGGCAAGGCAGGTGCTTTTTTTCCAGTGGGCAGCAGGCGGTAGCTGTGGAATGTGCTGTGGTGCTCCCGTCACTGAGCTTCCGTGGCGAACATCTCGAAGCTCCCCTGGCCGCCTGCACCGTCCACCTCGGAGTCGTCCGGCTGCTCCGTGGTGCTGGCACTCAGGTCATCATGGACAAGTGAGCGTTTTCCTTATTCGGCGCTTCGACATTGGGCGGAAAGGAGGGGGGGAGGTGTGGGGGTCTGGCTCCAGATCTCTGCTGAGTGCGACTGTTTGCAAGAGTGCTGCCTCTGGGGGAGACTCCACCCGCTCGAAACCGGCGCAAAAAACAGCCAAGATCTACTCCATGGGGGGGGAGGGAGGGGGGGGGGTTTGGGGCCCGCGCCGATCGGCAAAACTGCAAATGGAAAACGATCACATGTTTACAGCCTCGGGATGCTGTTCGGCAGCTGCGCCCAGGGGTGCCCAGATCCTCCCAAGGGGGGGGTGCGAGGGCCCGCGCCGATCGGCGAAACAGTGGATACAACAAATGATCACCAAGGTCGTTCGCGTACTCCGTCGGGGCCCCGCGGCTAGAGGGGCCACAGGCTTGGCAAAGGGCCTCTTGGAGCACCTGGGAACCCAGCTGGCCTGGCGGATGGGCGGCAGTACGTCGCTCATCTCTCCAAAGGAGGGCAAAACACTTGGATACACCATGCTCCCCCCTCAAAAGCCATGCCGTTGCGAGTATCTTCCGGAGATGCAAGTCCCGAGCGCCCCCAACGGAAGCGCAGCTTCCCCCATGAGGCGACTGCACTCGCCCAAGTGCTGCTTCAGATTGTGACCTGCCTCTCCGTCATGCAGACTCTGCATGCTGTCGGCAGCTTCGCGCGGAGTGGGTGCGCAGGCTACGCATTGCCCGTGCAAACTGGGAATCCCCTTTCCCCTGCGAACGGATCTCCTGCACATCACAGGCTGGGAGACAGGGTGCATAAACGGATGTACAATGTCGGGATACCGGAAGCTGTGAGAGTGTGCAGAAGAACGCTCGAGCCCAAACGGCTGCGGTGTCCTGTTTGTTTCTCTTCCTCTTCCTTCGCCCTTCTCCCCCTCCGTCTCCTATTCCTCGCTGTCCGCCACCTTCATCGTGTTTCCTTGTAAACAACTCCTCCCAATCGTGCCCCCAATCGCGTCGGCATGGCGGGCCGGGTGTTTCGCCCGAGGCTTCCTGACACTTGATGATCCTGAAGCTCGAGAGTTGCAGCAATTTCAAGGACGGGGGTCGAGCCGCTTTCAAAAAGTTGTTGTCGCTTTAGCGACGCGCACATTCGTGGCCAAACCATTCAACAATGTGAAGGATGGAGGGCAGTTCGTTCAACATGTGGCTATCTCCTTAGCGCCGCGCGCATTCATCTTAAGCGTCTGCCACAGCGTCAACGCTGGAGGGCGGGTGGTTTTCAAACGCTGTCTCGCGCTTTAGCGCCGCGGACTTTCGAACTAAACACTGCAGCATGTTCAAGGATGGAGGGCAAGTCCTTGTCAACCTGTGGCTCTCGTCGCGGCGCTGGGCACGTTCGTGTGAAAAGTGCGCCACGGCCTCAGGGATGGAGGTCGGGACGTCTTCAACATGTGGTAATTGCCCAATCATGAATGCATCAGCAGCAAGGAGTTGTAATTGTTTCACTCCGCGTCCGGTATCGGACCGGGCTTCGTGCTCGTACGGGACCTTGACCCTTGACATGCGGTTTGCACAAGTGTAGCGTATTCGGGGATTGAGGGCGGTTCTGTCTCAAAAGATGGCCCTCGCTTGAGCGCCGCGCACAAGCATCTGTCTCGAAAATCCCAACAGCCTCGAATACTCGTACGGTTGAGGTCCTATGATGGTGTCCTGGCACGAATTAGGACTGTCAGGACGCATCAGTCACGTTGATTCGCGGTGCTGATGTTCAAATCGGGATTCTCCGAGGGTTGTTTCCCAATGGGGGCACTCCCCGCGCAGTGAACAAACATGTGGTTAAAACCCACGACAAGGGAAATTGGAGGGAGGGTTCGTTGCAACATCGTTGGAAGATCTTGGGTTAACACTGGTCATCCCCATCCTCCTCCTCCCTCCTCCCTCCTCCTCCTCCTCCTCCTCCTCCTCCTCCTCCTCCTCCTCCTCCTCCTCTCCTCCTCCTCCTCCTCCTCCTCCTCCTCCTCCTCCTCCTCCTCCTCCTCCTTCTCCATCTCCCCCCTCCTCCTCATCATGTTTCTGAGGATGACACCATTGCCTCAGACCACCATTGCGAGACACCAGCTGGGAAATGAAAATACCATCGCTAGATACGTATCAGATAAGCCCAGATAAACCACCCTCATGATAAACACCCTGACCGAGAAGTCGCGTAGTAAACGCACCTGAGGCAGGAATCGAACAGGGCAGGGTTCGTAGTAAACGCCCAGGGCCGTTCAGCAAACAACAATTTGTGGGGTCGTTGTTTCTGAATCCCTCCCTTGAACCAGGTCAGAAGGATGGCACCGTCCAATTCGACAGTGGCTCGTTCCTTGTCCTGGTGGAGACCTCGCTTGAGCCTCCTGCAGCTCTGAACCCTCCTCGTCCTCCTCGTCCTCCTCCTCCTCCTCCTCCTCCTCCTCCTCCTCCTCCTCCTCCTCCTCCACACCCTCTTCCTCCTACCCCTCCTCCTCCCTCCCCGCCGGCGCCAGCGGCGAAGGCAACGACCACGGCGGCGGCGGCGGCGGCGGTCGCGCCGCGGCTGCCGAGGGTGCCGGCGGCCGCGGCCGCCGAGGGCGGCGGGGGCGGCACTCGCGACGGCGGACCCAGAGATCCGATGCCGTGATTTTTCCAATGCGCGGTCCCCAGAAGGCTCGACCCATTCCCCAGGACCGGTTGTTCATCCTGAGTCGTTGTTTGACGGTCCCGAGGCCCTGCGAGGGCCCCTAGGGGCCGAAATTTGCGAAAAACCTCCGCCTTGATTTTGTCAATGCGTTGGATCTCTGGGGAGACGGGAGGCGCCGAAGGCGACGGCGTCGGCGGCGGAGGGCTGCAGCGGCCGCGGCAGCGGCGGCGGCGCTCGAGGCGAGGGCAGCGGAGGCGCGGCAGCGGCGACGGCGGCGGCGGACGGCGGCGGCGGCGGCGGCGGCGTCGGCGGTGGCGAGGGCGGCGACGACGACGATCAGGGCGATGCCGAGGTCGACGGGGTGGGGGGAGGCAGGGAGGCGGGGGGGCAAGGGGGGGGGGGGCGCAGGGAGGAGGGCTGGAGGGACTGGGAGGGGAGGGCCTCCCGTCGTGGCGCCCCCTCTCCACCTTCGCACACCTCGGGCCTCAGAGAGGCAGAGAAAAAAAGAGAGAGAGAGAGAGAGAGAGAGAGAAAGATAGGGCGCAACAACAAAAAAACAGCCACTCCCCCCCCCCGTCCCCATCCGCTCCGTCCCCATCGCTTTCCGTGCTCCCCTTCCTCCTTCTGCTCCTCCTCCTCCTCCTCCGTCTCCTCCTCCTCCTCTTTCCCGCGCCTCGTTCCACGTCCCCCTCCTGCCCCCCAGCACCCCCCCCGTCTTCCCGCATCCTCCCTCGGCCCGTCCCTCCTTCCCCCTCTCTCCTCCTTCCTCTCCTCGGGTCGGGCGAAACGGGGGGATAGCAAAGGGGGGGTTTGATAATCAGCTCACGTAGCTGATTTTCCCGGCGCCCCCCCGCGCCGGAGGCGGCTATGTGTCGAGGAAGGGGCCCCTCGGAGGGGCCGAAACCAGCTGCACGCAGCAAATTTCGTAACCCCCCCTTTCCCAATCCCCCTCCCTTCGCCCGGCCCGATCTCCCTCCTCCCCCGCGGGCGTCCGCCGCCGCCTCTCGCCGCTACTGCCCGCCACTGCCGCCCTCGTCGACGAGCGCTCGCCGCCCCGCCGCCGCTCGCCGCGCGCTCGCCCAGCGCCGCCCGCCGCCGGCCGCCCGCCGGAGCCCCACCCCCCCGCGCGGCGGACCACGCCGTGGCCGCTCCGCGGGCGCCCCGCGGCGCCTGCCGCCCCCGCCTCGCGCGCGCGCGCCGTCTGCGCCGCCGCCGCCGCGCCTCGGCCGCCGCCGCGCGCGCGCGCGCGCCGTCGCGCGCCGCCGCGCGCGCGTCGACGGCGCCCTCGGCGCCGCCGTCGCCGCGCGCGCCGCCGTCGTCGGCGCCGCCGCCGCCAGGCGTGCTCGCGCCGCGGGCAGAGACACGCAAAAGAGGTTTCGGGCCGCTTTCGTCCTCCGCCGGGGGCCCTTGCCGGACCCCAGGACCGCCCTGGCGCGGACGGCATCACTGTCGTGGTCGTGGCCTTCGTCGCCGCCGCCAGCGCGCGCGCGTGCAAGATCGGTCGGCATCGAATCGGGAATCCGGATCGTATCGGAAAGCACGTCGGATCGGGCTGCGCCGATTACGGGAGCCGAGATCAAGTCGGACCTGCCGCGCCACGGAATGCACACGAGCGCCACGCAAACATCGGACCGCATCGGACCGTCGGAATATCGGAGGGAGCACGATCTACAGTCTACAGTCGCTTGACTGGGGCAGATTTCCTCCCCCCTCGAGGAAACGAGGGAGGGGTAAGATGTCGCCCTCTCCCCGGGAACCAGAGGGGTGGCGGGGGGACCCGCCCCCGCCCAGAAGCCAGGGGGGGGAGGGACTGCCCAGAAACCGTGGGGGAGGGGGGGGGGCAAAAGAACAGCCCCCCCGCCCCCGTGGCTCCAACCGGAAGGGGGGGGATACAGGCTCAGGCTCCCCCCCCCCACTGGTTCGAACCGGGGGGGGAACGATCCCCTCCCCGCCCTAAACTTTGTTTGAGTTTTGTTTGAGCCTTGCTTGAGCCTTGTGTGGGCTCTGGTTGAGCCTTGTTTGAGCTTTGTTTGAGCCTTGTTTGAGCAGTGTGTTAACTTTATTGGAGCGTTGTTGCAGCATTATTGGAACTCTCTTTGATCTTTGTTTGAGCCTTGTTGTGCTTTGTGTGGGGTTCGATTGAGCTTGGTGTGAGCTTTTATGGAGCTTCGATTGAGCTTTGTTTGATATTTGCTTGAGCTGTGCTCGATCCTTGTTTGAGCTGTGTTTGAGATGTATGTCAGATTTGTTGGAGCCTTGTTGGAGCTTTGTTTGAGTTCTACTGGAACCTGGGTTGAGCTTAATTTGAGTTTTGTTTGAACTTTGTTTAAGCTTTGGTTCAGCTTTGTTTGAGCTTTGTGATTACTGTATTGGAACTGTGTGAGTTTTGTCTGAGCTGTGATTAAGCTGTGTTAGAGCTTTGTTAGAGATTTGCTTCAACGTTGGTTCAACTTTGGATGCGCTTTGTTTGAGCCGTGTTGGAACACTGTGTGAGCATCGTGTGAATCTTGTTTAGCTGTGTGTAAGCTTTGATGCACTTGTGTATAATGTTTGTTGGAGCCTTGTGTGAACTGTGTTGGAACTTTGTGTGGGTCTTCTGTGAGCCTTGTGTGTGTGGGAGCTTGGTTGGAACTCTGTCCGATGTGTGATCGAGCTCTGTTGGAGCTTTGCTTGGGCTTTGATTGAGCTTGGTGTGAACTTTTTACTTGAGCTTTGCGCGGGCCTTGTTGGAGGCTCTTTGAGCTTTATTCTGAGCATGCTGTGCTGCCTGGCATGACACGGACAATTCGCCCGTTCTTGGCGGCGCGCAGAGGGGGGTAGGGGGAGGGGGGGGGCTTCTTAGAAGCACCCCTGCTGCTAAGAAGCCTTCCCCCCTCCCCCTACCCCCCTCCGCTCGCCGCCAAATTCGCCCGTTCGCCATCTCTCCTGGCTCCAGTTCCGGCACGGGAGGGCGCCGACCACCTCCTCTCGGCCCTCGGCTCGAACCAGGGAGAGGGGGGGGGGGCCTCTCCCCCCTGCCCCGGGAGCGGCCACGAGGGGGGTGCCCAAGAGAGGAGGGGGTGCAGATCATGACCGGCGGCATGTGCGCGGCCCAGCGGGGGGGCCAGGGACGCAGTGAAGGAAGGAGAGGCGCCACGAGATCTGGGGAAATATCATGGCCCCCGCCATGATATCCCCCCCCCCCCTAATCATCACCCCCCTCTTTTCCGCTCCCGACTGCCCCTCTCCCCCCCGGTCCCAGCCGGGCCGGGGGTGGGGGGGGAGGTATGTCCGCCCCTGCCCTCCCACCCCCCGTTCGGGGCGGGAGGTTCTACAGATACCCCACCCCCCCCAAGTCGCCCAGGAGGGGGGCTTGCCAGTAGCGGCAGAAAGCGCTCTCTCGAACCTCGGAACACCCCTGGCGCCCGCGGATCTGATCTTTCCAGCTCGCGGCCCCAGGAGGTCCCGACTGCTTCCCCGGGGGGGAGGTTTCTCGCCACACGCCACTGTTTGATGGTCTCGCGGGGCCCGAAACGGCCCCCGAGGGGCGATACCCCCAAAACAATCCATCCGAAATGATCTGGCGAAATCCAAGAGGCGACCGTCCCTCCAGAAATCCAGGCGAAATCCGAGAGGCCCGAAATCCCAAATCTGCAGAGGCGGCCCCCGAGTGGAGGGTTTCTCCGAAGGGCTTAGGCGACTCGTCCTCCTCCTCCTCCTCCTCCTCCTCCTCCTCCTCCTCCTCCTCCTCCTCCTCCCCCTCTTCCTCCTCCTCCTCTTCCTCTTCCTCCTCCTCCTTCCAAACATCCTCCTATCCAGACATTATCATCTCCCCCTCCTCCCTCCTCCCTCGCTGCCATGGGAGGCATCGGCCTGCCTTGTAGTGGGGCTGGCGAGACTCGAACCTCTGCTCCTCCTTGGCCGGAGTGGGGGGCGACGTCCTCCTCCTCGTCCTCCTCCTACTCTTCCTCCTCCCCGCCATCACACTCACAATCAGAATCACCATCATTCCCAACCATCCTGTGGAGGCCATCACCATCGCCATCACCAACACCACTACCATCATGGTCCCATGAGGATCTACACGGAGATGTCCGCATGCGGTTCCACCCCCATTCGGGCGCGCCCCTGACACGCTTTTTGCCCTAAAGAAAACTCCACCAAAGACCGCATTGGCACGTGCGACACGGCACCGTACACATGCGGTTCCAACCCCCATCCCGGCGCAACCCATCACATATTTCGTGGCTCCATAGGAAGCTTCACGAAAGGCCTAAGTGGCACAGTCCACATGCGGTTCCACCCCCATTGTCGGCGCACCCCTCATACGTTTGCGGACCCATAGGGAGCTCCACCGAAGACTCCCTGTCCGAATGCGGTTCCATCGCCCATTCCGGCGCATCCCTCACACGTTTCGTTGCCCCATCGTGACCCCCACCGAAGGCACCGGTGGCAGTCCGCATGCAGCTCCACCCACGCTTGAGCGCACCCCTCGCACGTCTCTGGCTCCATACGGAGCTTCACAAGGGGCCCTGGTGGCAGAGTCCGCACCACCCCCCACTCGCCGTCGCTCGGACGTCCATTCCCTGTGCCTTTTTCGGTTTCGTGCGTGGCTTCTTCGCCAGATGATCAAGGATGCTCCTCGATGGTCCTCGCCGAAGGAAAAATGCACACGCCCGAGCGACGCCAAGCCACGAGGAGCTCCACCACAGGCCTCAGTGTCACAGCCCGCTCGGCGGCCCCGGCCGCCTGGGGCGCACCCCGCACAAGTACCCTCCGTGGCCCCACGGGGTGCGCTCCCTCCATCGTCCTGCCTGCCCTGCGGTGCTCGCGCCTGCATGAGGCTGGGTCCTCTGGCAAGACCTTCGCCTTCCCTCGCTGCGACCTCTGCCTGGCCATCGCTCGGACGTCCATTCCCTGTGTTTTCTGTTCGGCTTCGTGCGTGGCTTTTTCGCCAGATGATCAAGGATGCTGCTCGATGGTCCTCGCCGATGGAAAAATGCACACGTCCGAGCGATGCCAAGACCTCCGACGAGAATGCGTCTGGTCGGCATGGTGTCAAAGGGCGGGAGTGCCGAGCTGCTGCCGAGGTCGGCGGACGAAGCTCGCACAGTGCCTGCCTGCAGTGATTGCGCCTCTCTCAGAGTAAGATCCTGCCCAGAAAACAAAGCCGTGACAGCGGATGCGCACTCGTTGACCATCAATACTATCATAAGTCGGATGATGCTGAGGACGAGCATCAGATTCATCATCGTGGATATGATCATGGTCACCATCACCACCTCACTACAATAATCGTCATCACCAGTATAATCGGCACCGCCATCATGTTACGACCATCTTCAACACCACCATCATCATCATCATCATCAGCAGCAACACCATCATCATCGTCATCGTCGTCATCGGCATCGTCATCGTCAGCATCACCAGCATCATCAGCATCATCAGCATCATCAGCATCATCATCATCAGCATCATCATCATCAGCTTCATCATCAACATCATCATCAGCAGAAGCAGCAACACCATCATCAATCTCATCATCAGCATCGTCATACCGCCATCGCCATCGCCATCGCAATCGCTATCACTAGCATCATACTCAGCATCACCACCGCCATATTCGGCATCATCTTCATCATCGTCAACATCATCAGCATCACCACCATCAGTATCATCATAACGCCATAGCCATTGCCATAACCACCGCCATCACGTTCATTATACTCAGCATCACCACCACCTTCATCCTCTTCATCATCACCATCGTCACCATCATCATCACCATCATCATCATCATCATCAGCATCAGCATCATCATCATCATCGTCATCATCATCATCATCAGCATCATCATCAGCATCAGCATCATCATCATCACCAGCATCATCATCAATATCATCATGATCGTCATCATCGTCATCAACACCACCACCACCATCATCGCCAGCAGTATCATCAACAGTACCATCGGCAACACCATCGTGCATCTCTCTCTCTCTCCCGTTCTCGTTCTCTCTCTCTCTCTCTTTCCCTCTCTCTCTCTCGTTCTCTCTCTCTTTCGGTATATATACACACATCTGCCGAAGGCCAGCGTCGAGGAGCGGGGGCTGCCCTTCGGCTGCCCCGAGGCCGCGCGCGGCGTGCTGGCGGAGGCGCACGGCCCACAGCTGCCCAAAGTCGAGCTGGGGCGCTCCCGCGCTCCGATTTCGGAATCCGCCGCGCGTTCGACGATTTCGCGGGCAACTGGTTCGAGTTACGACGGTTCGACACGTTCGACTTTCGACTTCGACGATTTCGACTTTCGACGATCTCGGCGCGGAACTATCAGCCAAATGTTCAAGCTCCTCGGATGTCGAATTCCGCCCTGCTCTGCCGTCGCTGTTGCCGCCATAACTTTGAGGAACTACCCGCCCCACGGTTCTCAGGCGGGAATTTCCTCCCTACGTGCCAAGCTCCTTACTTTGGAATCGATGCCCACCCTACGTTGCAACCGCTGTTTCCGATGTACATTTGCAAACATATCCGCCCTACTATTCTGAGGCGGAAAATTCCCACCTTACTTGTTCGCATCGCTTGGGACACATTTCCGACACACTACCACCAGCCCTCTGGGCGCAGGTGGTCTAACGATGTTGCTCCGTCCTCTTCTGAAGCCCCTCTTCCCTTCGGGGAGTGGCACCCTCCCCCTCCCCCTCCATGAGGTTGTGTTGAGGTTTCCCGAGCGGTCAGATGGCCCAAACTATGGCTCCAAGAGTGCCGCGAATGCTCCAAGATGGCCTCCAAGATGGGTCAAGATAGCCGAAGATGGCTCGAGACGGCTTCAAACAGCCGAAGAGGCCCACAATGCCGTTCCAGGACGGTGCCAAATGCTCTCGGAGCCCCATCGGACCCCCTCAAGAGGCCAACATCCTTGCAAAAACCTGAAGGAACACAATAAGTGTTGCTTTCTCGACTTCTCGCTCCAAGATGACCCAAGAGAGGTCCAAGAGGACTCCAAGAGGCGATTCTGAGGGCCCCAGAAGGGGAACCTAAATCCCCCCCCCCCCGTTTGATCAATGGCCTCCCAGATGACCCCAGGAGGCCCTCTAGGGTTCTCAAGAAGACCCCAAGAGAGCCCCCAGAGGGCCCCACGACCCCCAAACAAGCCCCAAGAGGACCCCACGACTCCCCAAAAGAACCCCAAGAGGGCCCCAAGAGGGCCCCGAGAGAGCCCTAGGAGGACCCCAAGAAGGCCCAGATGGCTGCCAGAGTCCTCGTCCGCTCCTCCTCCTCGTCCTCCTCCTCATCTTACGTTCCGTCCTCGTCCTCTTCCCCCTCCTCATCCTCGCACCGGTTTTCGTCCTCCTCCTTGTCTTTGCCCTCATCGTCCTCCTCGTCCTTGTCCTCCTCTTCCCTTCTTCTTCTTCTCCTCGTCCTCCTCGTCCTCTCGTTGTCGTTCTTATACTTCTCCCCCTCCTTCCCCCCCTCCTCCTCCGCATCCTCAATTCACCATGTCTGCCCGCTTTGATTCACTATATCTGTCTCGCCCTCCCAATTCCCGTCAGCTCTCCTGAGCAGCGATTCTGAGTGGGCTGGTGGGGATGCACGAAGCGTGAAGAACCTCACATAGGACAATCAGCCAAAGCATTGTAGATCCGAAGTCAGGATGGACCCAGACTTCCAACGACGTTCCTTTGCCAAGAATGAGCGTATGTATATGAAGGGGCCCAGGGACACACACAAATTAATTCACACAAATCCCAGGATTCCCCATATTTTCTGGGTATCAGTCTTCCCCCCCCACTTCCCATATTTTCCCATATTTTCCTGGGAATCGACGATCAATTGTGTCTTCATGTTGTTTCCCCCTTCTGAATAATGAGCGTACGTATAACGACAGGCATCTCTTGCTGTGTCTCCCATCTTCGGCCTCCGAAGGCCCTCGCCGGGCCTCGCCTTTTCGAAGACATAGGTAATCGGCGCACTTGAATGCATGTGTTGATCTCCCCTGGGCTGTTCGCCCCTGTCGCCGCCTCTGATCGGGGGACCGCGCACGGACAACATCTGGACGCCGCGTGTCCGAGCAGGTCCCCCAGCGGTCCCCGCCACGTGAGCGCTCCAGCTCTGCCCCCCCCCCCCGCCGGAGCGGCGCCTCGAGGCGCCTCCGTGCCCACTCAGGCAAAGACCGCTGGGCCCTCGGCAGGGATCGTGCCCACTGATGGGCCTGTGGTCCACCACCACCACCGCAAGTTGGAGCGGGAGGGGGTCTTCCTCCTCCTCCTCCTCCTCCTCCTCCTCCTCCTCCTCCTCCCCCCTCGAACTTACGGTGGTGGTGGTGGTGGCGGTGGAAAACAAGCCCATCACCCACGAGCCACGGGATTCTCTCGGGCGTTGATAGAACTGGGTGAAGTGGGACCCGGTTTAATGATGTGTACTGGGGGGGGGACCCCCCAAGCCCCGTTCCACTAACCGGAACTGCCCGTCACCCGAAAACTCCTGGCTATACCTGATTCTTTGGAGGAAGAAAAAAAGGCACAACCATCAACTTTTGACGGTCCATGCGGATTTCGTGGATTTGCGGTGGACCCCGCCGGCGGCGCCTCCAGCGCCGCCCCTGGCGCGCTCAGCGCGCCAAGGAGTGGGGGTCCAGCGCAGATCCAGGAAGTCCGCGCGGACCGGCAAACGTTTATGTTTACGCAGTGCTTTCTTATTCTGACAAATCCCATTCATTCCACTGGGATAGCATCGCGCACTCGATAGGCATCCAATTGCCGTCGTCAATAAATCTGATGGGTGGCTGACGTCTCTAGAATGTTGGCCTGGACTTCTCAATATGATGCGGGGGGCTCGTCATGAAACCCATTTCGATTGCTGAGGTCGATCGGAACTTCTCGGGTTCTGGAAGGTCTGTCAAGACGGGCCACTTTCGCCGAGGAGGCGCTGCAGCCCTCCTTCCTGGCCCCGCCAGTGGAGAGCAGAGAGTCCTGGCACAGAATGGCCCGCAACGGGCCGGACAGATGAATACTAGATCATCTGCTACACGCGCGCCGACCACATTGAAAGCTCAGAAGTGCGGCTCTCCCATCCGACCTTGTCTCCGTTGCTACCCGCCGCCAATCTCCCGGCTTTATGTGAGCTTTTTTTTATTCGGCGTTTCGACATGGGCGGAAAGGGGGAGGGAGGGGGGGGGTCTGGCTCCGGACCTCTGCTTAGTGCGACTGTTTGCAAGAGTGCTGCCTCTCTGGGAGACTCCGCCCGCTCGAAACAGGCGCCAAAAAACAGACAAGATCTACTCCATGAGGGAGGAGGGGGGGTTTGGAGGGCCCGCGCCGATCGGCAAAAAAGTGAATGAACAAAACGATCACCTTTATGTCTCGACAGAATCGCCCGAGCACGTCTCCGAATTTTATCTATCTCCGAGGGGGAGGCCACAGTGGAAGCCCTGGGCCGAAGCCGGCCACCGTTGCTGACCACTGAGAGTCGCGCCGCGCGGTGACTGCATGGTGAGCGTTTTCTTATTCGGCGTTTCGACATTGGGCGGAAGGGAGGGGAGGGGGGAGGGTCTTTGTTTAATGCGACTGTTTGCGCCACTGTCCATTGTGGGGGAGGCTCCGCCTGCTCGAGAGGCTCCCAAAACAGACAAGATCTACTCCATGGGGAGGGGAGGGGGAGTGCGAGGGCCCGCGCCGATCGGCAAAACAAGGAATAAGAAAACGATCACATGTATCCATGCTGTTTGGCGAATAGTCGACAGCTGACCAACATACAACCGTTTTCAACGGAAGAATTGGGTGTCTCAATCCCTGACAGCGGAATCGTGCGCCATGTCCCTCGCTTTGGAAATTGCCGTTTTGTATCCACTGTGTTCAAGTTTCAATCTCTCTCCTCTTACCTCCGGCAATGAGCCGAATCATGCTGTGTCGAGCTGCATTAATCGCCGGAACTACTCGGCTCGAGGGGTGATTCTGCCGCTTGGAGAACGCGCTCCGCGACTGTAGTGACGAACAAGCGTAATCGTTTCTTGATGGAATACGCCCTGTTTAACAATGAACCTTTCAACGATCAGAACTTCTGCAATGCGATTCGATCCCTCTGTTCCCGTTGGGTCGGTCAAAGATAAAGTCGTCACAAGAAAATGCAAGCTTATATCTGGTTCCATCACGGAATTCGAAAAGCTGCACCGTGCCTCTGTCGAGTCAACACTGACCCCTGCGCATTTTGTTGTTTGTGCGGTGTCAAGAACCCGACGTCTCCTCAACAGTGCGTCCGGTAGAATCAGAATCATGCGGTTCAAAGAATAGGGCAACGAACAGTCACATACTCAAACATATGAACTCGGAAGTTCGCGCGGATTTCTCGGATCGGCGCTAGGCCCCCCTGGCGGCGCCTCCCCTGGCGCGCTCCGCGCGCAAAGGAGGGGAGTCTAGCGCGGATCCGAGAAATCCGCGCGGACCTCCGAGATTTTATGTTTATGCCATTCTTCGTTCCCCTTTAAAAAGCCGGCTTCTCGCCATCAGCCTCTGGTCATCAGCTCTACGTGTGGGGCCCTCGCCAGAGCCCCGCGAGGGAGTGCCTCTGATCGGTGGCACGCACGACATCAGCGAAGCGAAACCCACATCTTTGTGTCGCTTAGAGGCGGGCGAGCTTAACCTTAGGTCGTGCATGTCCTCCTACAGGCGGATCTTGGGCGCAGAATTTCGACAACATGCAAAATATTCGAAAGCAATGTTTAAACAAGAAGCTAAACTAACATCGTCTTAAATAAACACTATTTTTGAACTTTCCTCCTGTAGAAGGACAGGCCCGACTCAAGCTAAACCTCGCCCGTCCCATCGCTCATCTGGCGCTCCGCTGAACGCTCCGACGAAGCGTCGCTCGCGCCCGAGGTTCGTCGGGCTCCCAGAAGGCCGGCTCGGTGGCCCTCCAGGCCCGCGGAACCTTCCAGCCTTGCCGGGACGAGGCCCCACCCAGCTCCAGGGAATCCGGGAAGGCGGAAGAGAGCGCTACACCGGGGATCCTCAACCATGGGACCAAGGGCGTGGACGCGTTGGCTCTCTTGGCCAATGTGGGACCTTTCGAGCGCGGTGGGGGACAGGGGTGGAACTTTACGATCGTGTGGGCGGGTGCGACCACGCTCCACAAGGAGTCGGACTACAGTCAAATCGTGAAGTAAGGACGGGCGGCACGGACGCAAGACCCTTGGAGGCCGAAGCTGGGATTTTGTTGGTCGGCGGGCGACCAGTGCATACGGCAGAGTACGAGTCGCAGAGGCAAGGACACAAGGGCACCCTGGCTGATGGCGCGCGTCCTTCCTCGGCGCGTTGACTGTCTACGAGTTCCATACGGGAGGCCACGGCCAGAGGCCACACCCAGAGACCAAGGGCCACGGCCAGAGACCCACGGGGAGACCACGGGCCGGAACCGAAACGAGAGAACACAAGGGCCACGGCCGGAGGACCCACGCCACGCCCACAAGCCGGGGAGCCTCAGCAAAGCAACGCCGCAGGAGGAGGAGGAGGAGGAGGAGGCTGATCAGACACACGTCACGTACCCAGAAACCCAGGGACCCAGCGTCGGCGACCGTGCAGAAGCCCAGGGACCCAGAACGCCGTCGGAACACGAAGGCATCTGGCGGCCTCCAGGATCCCTTCCTGCCACTCGCGAGGCACGGGAGTGCACGCAGGGAGGACCGCCATCATACGTCTGGGCGAGCGAGGGGTGCTCCGTGGTGCTGCGTGCTCGGGCTGCGTGGCTGAGGCACGGCTATGGTCGCGCGCGCGCCGTGCGGGCCGAGCATCACTCGCAGCGCTGCGAGCTATCACCTCGATGGGAGAGGCCTGCCCGCCTCCTCGTCGATCCTCCTCTCTGCCAACCGGTGCGAGAAGACTGTCACGATAATGCACCAGGCTATTGGTATGAAACGCAGCCTGTCTGCTCTCCTCCTCCCCCTTCCCCCTCCTCCTCCTCCTCCCTCCTCCTCCTCCTCCTCCTCCTCCTCCTCCTCCTCCTCCTCCTTGTCCTCCTCCACCTCCTCCTCCTCGTCCTCTTCGTCCTCCTTCTCCTCCTCCTCCATCTCCCTCCTCCTCCCCCTCCCCCTCCTCCTCCTCCTCCTCCTCCTCCTCCTCCTCCTCCTCCTCTTCCTCCACCTCCTCCTCCTCATCCGTTAATTTTCCTTATAAGTAACTTCTTCCTGGCGCACTTCGAGGCCAGTTTCTAGGGCGGGCCGGGCGTTTCGCTTGTTTATGACCCTGAAACTTACAAAAAGAAAACAACTTCACAGCTGGAGGACGGGTGGTTTTCAAAATGTGGCTCTCTCCTTAGCGCCGCGCGCATTCGTTTTAAAAGTTTGTAAGAGTTCCACGGACTGAGGGCGGGTGTCTTTGCAGCTCTCGCCTTAGCACCGCGCACATTCGTTTTAAAGATGTTTCACGGTTTGAGAGCTGGTGGTTTTCAAATTGTGGCTCTCGCCTCAGCGCCGCGCACCTTCGTTTTAGAAACTCATAAGAGCTTCACGGATTGACGGCGGCCCGTTTTCAAAATGTGGTTCTCGCCTTAGCGCAGCGCACATTCGTTTTAAAAGTTTGAAAGAGTTCCACGGATTGAGGGCGGTTCCTTTTCAACATGTGGCTCTCGCCTTAGCGCCGCGCGCACTTTTTCCAAACTGTGCAAGAGTTTCACGGATTGAGGGCGGGTGGTTTCAACATGTAGCTGCCGCCTTAGAGACGCGCACATTCGTCTTAAAGCTCTGCAGGAGCATCACGGCTGGTGATTTTCAAAATGTGGCTCTCGCCTCAACGCCGCGCACATTCTGTTTTAGAAGTTCATAAGAGCTTCACGGATTGAGGACGGGCCGTTTTCAAAATGTGGCTCTCGCCTTGGCGCGGCGCACATTCGTTTTAATCATTTGCAAGAGTTTCACGGATTGAAGGCGGGTCGTTTTCAACATGTGGCTCTCGCCTTAGCGCCGCTCACATTCGGCTCAAGAATTTGCATGAGCTTCACGGATGAAGGGCGGCTCCTTGTCAACATGTGGTTCCCGCCTTAGCGCCGCGCGCATTCTTTAAATACATATAGCTATACACATATGTATACGCAGATAAGAGTTACACGGACTCCCATGATCGACGTACCAGGCATGATGTGTGTAAGGGTTGGCCATTCTGAGGACGCAACGGTTACGATGCTTCGCAGAGTTGAGGTCCCAGAAATGACGTGCTGGCACGACTCAGGATCGTCAACACGCAACAGGTCAGGTTCTTCAGTGGCGTTGGAATGCCGAGAATAATGTTTTGGCATGCTTCAGGGTCTTCAAACGGCTGTCTTCCAACGAGGCAGGTCCCTCTCTGGAAATAAACCGTTGTCGTTGTAAGGGCCTGTTAAGAGGGAGCTTGGGGGACGGGATTATTCCAACATCGTTGGTGGCTCTTGGGTTTACTCTGGTCCTCCTCGTCCTCCTCCTCCTCCTCCTCCTCCTCGTCCTCCTCCTCCTCCTCCTCCCTCCTCCTCCCTCCTCCTCCCCCTCCCCCCTCCCCCCCCTCCCCGTCCCCCTCCCCCTCCCCCTCTCCCCCTCCCCCTCCTCCCCCCCCCCCCCTTTTTTCTTCTCCTCCTCATCCTCCGCCTCCTCCTCCTCCTCCTCCTCCTCCTCCTCCTCCCCTCCTCCTCCCTCCTCCTCCTCCTCCTCCTCCCCTCCCCCTCCCCCTCCCCCCCCTCCTCCTCCCCCCCTCCTCCTCCTCCTCCTCTCTCCTCCTCCTCCCTCCTCCCTCCTCCTCCTCCTCCCCCTCCTCATCCCCCTCCTCCTCATCGATCCTTCTTCACCCCCTCCCGGCCTCCTCTCTGCATCCTCACCGCCCCCCTCCCAGAGGGGAGGGGGGGGGAGCCGCAAGAGCAGGCCCTGACCACAGCCAGTCCTTCTTGAATATGGCCTGCAGCGACGCCTCCCTCTTGCGCAAGTTCTGAAACTCCACGGCCGCCTGGGCGGCCTCCGTTTCCTGTTTCGTCTTCCCCTACCCTCCTCTTGTTCCTCCTCGTCCTTCCCATCCTCCTCGGCCTGTTCCTGCTTTCCCTGCTCCCTGCTCCTCCCTCTCTCTCTTCCTCCTCCCCCTCCTCCCCCTCCCCCTCCTCCTACTCCTTATCCTCCTCCTCCTCCTCCTCCTCCTCCTCCTCCTCCTCCTCCATCCTGATGCTGCTCCTCCTCCTCATCATCATCACCATCACCGCCATCACCATATCATACCATGAACCAGTATCCCTTGTTGCTCACTCGCTCCTGTCGCACTAGCAGACGTCTCAATGACATGGTCTGGGCGTTTCGTTTAGAGACTTCCTTCCAGCAAGCGATACCAAAGTTTAGCAAGCCCAACGAATACAAGGATGGAGGCTGGCAGTTTCGAAAATACGGCTCTCGCCGTAGCTGCACGCACATTCGCTTCTAAAGCGTCCAACAAGTACGAGGATGCGAGACCGGTCGTTTCCAAAATGCGGCTCTTGTGTCAACGCCGCGCACAATCGTCTTGAAAGTCTCCGTTCGCCACGCGGATGGAGAACCGCTCATTTTCCAAGCGCGGCACAGCAAGTGCATAGACGGATGGGCGCAGTTGTCGCGGTGCGGATCTCGCCTCAGCGCCACGCGCTCTCGTCTTTGGAGTCCAGTTCGTTTTCCGAAAGCGGCTCTCGCTTGAGGGGGAGGAGGAGAAGGAAGAGGAGGTGGTGGAGGAGGAGGAGGAGGAGGACGAGGAGGAGGAGGAGGAGGAGGAGGAGGGAGGAGGCGGAGGAGGAGGCGGATCAGGAGGAGGAGGCGGAGGAGGACGAGGACGACGAGGACGAGGAGGAGGAGGAAGAGGAGAAGAAAGAGGAGGAGGAGGAGGAAAGAGGAGGCGGATCAGGAGGTGGAGGCGGGAGGAGACGGAGGAGGCGAGAGGAGAAGGCGGAGGAGGAGGAGGGAGGAGGAGGTGGAGGAGAAGGGACACGAGGGTGAGGGTGAGGGCAGTAGGGAACGCGCCAGTCGTGCCGACGCGCCCCGCCCGCGGCGCCCGCGCCCCCCGCTCAGCGGCTGCCGCCCTCGGCGGCCCGCGGAGCTCGGGGCAGGCTCAGCGCGGCGGCGTCGGCCCGCGCCCGCTTGGCTGGCGGGCTGCCAGCGGGCGCCCAGCGGGCGGCCGACGGCGGCCAGCTGCAGAGGCGGGGGCCACGGCCCGCTGGCACAGCAGTCGCCACACGGCGCTGCCGCTTCGCCTCCTGGCCGATCTCGTCCTCCACGACGGCGCCGCCTCGGCCTCGAGCAGCGCGAAGCAGGAAGGCAACCTTGTCGCTGAGATTCGCATCCGCAGGAAGACCACGAGGAGGCGAGGATGTCGTCGCGCCCGTGGCGCTCCTCGCCTCCTTTTCCCACTCTTCTTTCCCGCAATTTATCGCAGGGTGCGGGCAACTGTCTGACCCAGCCGAAGGACCTGGGGGTGCCGCCCCCAACGGGACTGGCCCCCCCAGGTCTGCCGCCTCGAGGACTGAGTCGCCCAGCGCGTCCCCGATCGCGTCGTCCCGTGCGGAGTGGTCCCCCGCGCAGGTGGCGTCGCCCAGCACCTCGCATCCCATCACCGTGTCAGTGTCGGCGAGGGTCCTTGGCGAGAGCTGCTTCGGGATCAGCGGCACGCACGGAGCTAGGCCGATCTCCTCCACGGGCCGACCCGCAGCACCAGTGCCTTCACGCATCTCCCCCCTGTTCGTGCCGTCTAGCTCGTGGTGGACAGCTGACTCCCCCAGGCCTGCCGCCACGACCGAGCCGCTCTTCACAACAACCTCTCGCTCGATATCGGTGGTGTGGGGCCTTGGCGGGAGCCGCTTTGGGATCAGCGGTTCGTGCGAGGTTAGGCCGATCTCCCGCGCGGATCGGCCCGCAGCACCCACACCTCCCCGAACGGCATCGCCTATCATGGCGGCGTCCAGCAGGTGGTGGACCGCCCCGTCCAGCATGTCAACGACCTCCGTGTTCTTCGCCTGCGGAGCAGCTGGCTTCTCCTTGACTGCTGCCTCGAAGACCGAGTCGCTCGTCACAACAACCTCCTGCGCAGTGCCGACGGCGTGGGGCCTTGGCGAGAGCCGCTCTGGGATCAGCGGTTCGGACGAAGCTAGGCCGATCTCCCGCACGGGTCGACCCGCAGCACCCTCGCCTTCACGAAGAGCATCTCCATCCGCGTCGTCCGTCACGTAGCGGGCTGCCTCGTCTGGCTTGCCGTAGGCCCCCGCGACCAGCGCAGGGGGGGCCAGGCCTCCTCGTCGCTCTGCAGCCCGTGCAGCAGCTCGCGCAGCACGGCGTCGGCGAGCCAGCAACCTCGGACCTATCTCCAACTCGGCTTCCTTCCTGACGAACCTGCGCTGTCCACTGACCTTCGGCCACAGGCCTCGTGCCAGCCGCTGGAGATAGTCACGCCCAGCCCGCGAAGGGCGACCCAGGCATCTGGCCCGCAGGCCTAGGCCCACCATGCGACCCGCTGCGGCCACGAAGCACCCGCAGCATACACAGAACCACACGTCCAGGCGCTCGTGGAGTCGCAGAAGATGGGAAGCATGAGGCCGACCTCCTCCGATATGCGGGCGGCCCTCCCGCAGCATGAATGTGGCGGGCCCATCGCGCAGCAACCCTGGACAGCGAGATGCCATCCACTGCGATCGCACGGAACGGGAGGCCGAACACCTGCATCTCAAGCAACTGCCTCGGCTGTCTAACGCATGCGACGAGCCGAAGGCCTCCACCATGCTGGGCGCAGGTGGGACCTGCCGCCGTCGCCTCGCACGTCGCGCCGATGGCGTGAACTCGGCCTCGGCGCTCAGCACGTCCAGGGTGGCCCGCAGTAGGCGCCGCGCCATCTGCTCGGTCTGGAGCACCCGCCCTCTCTCGGTAGCAGGGAGGCGGGCCAGCTCAGCGGCTTCACCTGCGAGGACGTCGGCGACCGCATTGCCCATGATCAGCCATGGCGGGAGGCCACGCCGTGCGGCCTCGTCCATGCCCAGGTGCGAGTTCACGTGCTCCACGACGAACTCCGACCTGTCCCTCGTCACGAAAAGCTGGCCCAGCTGGGCCCACAGGTCGCAATCAACACCCTGCGGCCGCTGATCGCGTCTGCTCCACCAGCCCATGCAGACTGCCAGGTTGTCGGGGACGTAGACCGTCGGCCCCAGGGAGCCCTGCGCAGCAAGCGCCAGCGCACGTAGCTCCCCGCGGTGCACGGTCTGCACGGGGCCGCTGAGGCTGCCCCAGGCGGCCTTCTCCAGCGTTCCGCTGAGCAGCTGGATCTTGGCCACGGCGAGGCCGACCCGCCGAAGGTGTGGCACCTGCCCCTCATGTCCTCCGCTGGCATCGCCGAAAAGGATGAAGGGGTCGAGCTCGGAGCCACGCCCCAACTCACCAGGGGCGACAACATCAGCACGATGACCCTGCAAGAAGATCCACGAGTCGCCGTCGGGTGGGGCACTGACCTCTGTCCATCTGGCAGGGAGGAGGCCCCTGAGCCAGAAGGCGGCGTGCGCCTCGTGGTCGGTGGCTGCTCTGCTGCTGAACTCGTCGCTGTCGTCGTATGTTTTGCTGCCCTTGTTGCACGGGCAACTCCAGTATCTGTGGTAGGCTGTCTCCTCATCCTCCCCACAGCGCGGGCACGTCAAGAGCTCGGTGTCACCAAAGACCTCCCTCTTTCTGGCTCGCGGCCACGCGCCTCCGACAGCGCTGGTGGCGAGCAGCTCCTCGAGTGCAGGCCCTCCAGGGAGCCGCCTGAGCCTCTGAAGGAGACTCTGCAGGGAACGCAGGTCAGCTCCTCCTGCCAAGCCAGCTCCGCACCAGTGACCTGCCGCTCGCTGCCACAGATCCTCCTGAACAGAGGCGTCGAAGGCGTCGAGGATGGCCTGGCAGGGGCCCTCGGTGATGCTGACTACGTCGGGGAAGGCCCACCTTTCGCGAGAGCCGTCCTGAAGGTGTCGCTCCCAGCCTCGAGGACCCACAGGACACCAGCCGTGCTGCAGTAGCATAGCCTGCAGGGCGGAGGTGGGGCCGCGCACCAGCCTCGACCTCTCCTCGGGTGGGGCTTCGCGCAGCCTGGTATGGATGGGGATTCAGGCACGCTCCACCTGCTGTCGTACCTCCTGGCTGCCTCTCCACACCTCGAACCAGTTCTCGAGGAGCGCCCGAGGGGGCGCCGTGCAGGGTCAAGTGCTCCTGCTCGGAGGGCCAGCTGCGTGGTGAGGCACCTCCCACGCTTGACGGCGCCTGTGACTGACGCCAGCCGCCTTCGCAGCTCGGCTAGCCTGTTGCCGACGAAGGCGCCGAAGATCTCGAGGCAGTAGGTCGCTGCCGTCTGGAGGCCGACCTTCTCGACGAACCCGCACTTCAGATATTGCCTCGATGCTTTGGCCATGCCTCGGAGCCGCTTGTTCGCCTGCCTCGTCTTGCCGAAGCGCTTCGTGATCGCGGAGCGCACAGGCCGTCTGCCCGCCGCGAGGTCGACTCCGAGGCAAGTGCCAAAGGAAGACGCCTGGACGGTGAACCCGTGCTGCTTGACGATCTTCGCGGCCCTGCGGGCGTCCTCCAGCTGCGAGCACACCACAACACTCTTGGGAGAGAGCGCAAAGCCCTCCTGCTGCATGCCCTGCCCGAAGTCGCGGATGCCTTGCGAGACGGCAGCGACTACTGCGGGACGAGAGCCCACCGCGGAGAGGGAGAGGTCATCCACCCAGATCCGCGACGGCAGGAGCTGAGGCATCCCCTGTGGGGCCCCCGTGGCGAGCCTCTCCATGGTGTAGTACGTCATGCACCTGCCGAAGCGCGTGCCCGATCGCACTCCCTGGGCGACCGACTGCGAGGGGATCACGATCCTCGAAGCCAAGCCGTCCTGCAGCAGGACGCGCCCCGCCACGCACTGCTGCAGCTCCAGGGCCAGGACGGCGGGCGGGAAGCCGCACCGAAGAGCAGCCCGAGCCAGCCCCGACCACG